TTTAATTTATATAGATTTGAATGAATGAATGAATATAAATAAGTGAATGACCTTTTTGTATTTGTTTGCAAACAATTTTAGATATTATAAACATAAAACTCTCCTTTTTATATTGCTTATGCATATAATAAGTTCAACCTTCATGCCATCACATAAAGTCTGTTGCACTGCTGCAGCATGACAATGCATCTGTCACATATCAGATCCTGCAATTTATGAAGCGTGAGTGCACCAAGTGAAACACTTTTAGTTGGAGAATTGCCAAAGAGCCCATCCTTTCAACTGGCATGTAATGATAACCTATGTGTCTTCTGCTCAGAGATYAACAGTCCGGCAGGCTGTGTGGCTGGCTGTACTCTAGTGCTGAGATTCAACTTGGAGAAACATAGAGGTCAGAGTCTAGCCAAACAGCAGATGGTTTGTTGGGCCTCTTTGGGAGTATCCTAAAACGGATTGAATACACAGATTCACATCTATGTAAGCACTCACATTTGCTGTAATCGAGGACAGTTGTAGAAAACTACTTAAAACTGATTTAGATCTTATAGAGTTTGTAAATAAAGGCACTAATAAATGAGTATAAACTAGAGGAAAAAGCCTTTCTATAACAGCTATRATGCACAAGAACAAATACAAAATGTAGTGTTAGTTTTTCCCCTCTGGTAAACAGCAGTTATGGTAATTCTGTGAGCTAAAACCATAAACAGCAAACAATATTTGGAGTGCAGCTTTGCTAAAAAAAAATGCACAGCTTCCAATAATAATGGTGACAATGAATRTGATTTGACACTTGTGCTCAGTCAACCCCATGAATAAAAACGTTTTACCCTTTTAATACTCTGATTAGAAGCTCAGCTCTGACTATGAAAATGGAAATGAAAACGCTAGGTGGCACCTGTCATATCACTGGGCTATGTGTTGTGGCAGCTGTTGTTTCCTAATGTAAAGCAGTTGAACCATACTATTAGCTGGAAGATCACAAATACAGCCGAGTTGTTAAATGATCTGCTTCTCTGAGCTGCATAGATTCTACATCTGGGGGATACACAATCACACCACACTCTGCATTTATTACGAAGGACAACCATGCATGACTTGAAACAAGTGTGTTCATACTTCATTAACACCGAATGGAAGCAAGTTCTGGACTTGAGTTCAAACGCAGTCGCACATGCTCCCAACACAAACTGGTACTGAATGCAGGTCACGTTTCAACAATCTGAGTTTTATTCAAACTGCAATAACAAATTCAATAAGGAAGTTACAATATTACCAGGGATTTTAACAGTATGAAATGGGATTAATGGAAACTCAAAGTATTGGGGATTTTAACAAATATAATAACTGCTAACAGGGAATCTCAAAAATTTTCCAAAATGGCATTTGTTTCCAGGAAAATTTTGAATGAAGTAGCAGCAGATAGAGTCTACAATATGCAAACACTGTCTCTTTACTTTATTTGCCATCTATTTATTTATCAAGCAGTTCATAATGACATTTGAATAGTTCTCAATTAGTTTCATATATTGCCATTCTCAACTAACTTTATAGGAAACCTAAATTATTTATAAAAGATGACAGGGCAGTTTCGGGAATAATGTTGCATTTGTTTCTTAATCAAATTGTAATCATAGTTTGAAAAGTTCACAAAGGCTGGTTGTTAGCTGTGTGGAAATTGCTCTGTGCACATAAACCACTCTGACCTTTCATGCAAACATGTTTGTAATAATTAGTCTCTTGACCCATTTAATTGGTGCTGATCTTCAAAGAGTGGCAAAGGAACAAAAATTAAAAATACTTAAAGTTTATTATTTTATTTTCATTATTTTGTGTCCTTTATGTCATATGACACTTTCAGTTTGTTCTCTGTGTAGTGAAAATGAATAAATAAAAAGGTGCCACGTGAGTCTTACTAAAACTTTTTTTTTTCTCAGTAAACTTCATCGGCCATGCTGTAGTGGAAGCACATCGATTGCCACTCCATACATTTGGCTCATGTCTTGCCTCCTGGCTGGTCTTGATAGATGCTTCCCCTCATCCTCTTCCTTGTATTTCATACAATTCAGAGCGCACGTTCTTTTCAATATCTTCAGTTTTCATGTGTAAAAACAGCTTTATGTTAGCATCGAGCCAACAGAAATCCAGATTTGGTGAGATGTATTACATCAGTGCTGCTAAGACTGTTTTCAATCACAGCCATGGTGTCATTGAACTGCTGGGTCTCTACCTATCTGTAATGCTACTCGTGACTGAGAAGATAGAGTTATTACGAGGATGCTTCCCCAGCTGATGGATTGATTTTTTTTCTTCCTTTTTTTAAAGATTTCTCTGGTGATGGAGTGAAAGAAGAAGCCARCTCTAACCTTGCTGCTCTGAGCCAGCACTTCCACTCATATTTCTCATTTGATATCCCCATATTTGGTGGTAAGTGCGTGATCTTTCTGCCACARCAGCCTCAACAGCGTCAAGTATTCTTATGGGTAATATAGATAAGCGGCTGCTGGAGTTTTTTATCCTTTGACAAACACTAAAGATGAAAATCCAGCAGGTGTCTCACAAAACGTTTGGCTT